CAGTGTTGTGTGAGTGTGTGTGTGTGTGAGTGTGTGTGTGTGTGTGTGTGTGTGTCCTACATTTTATTTCCTGAGGCAAGGTCTCTGGCTGAATCTAGAAGTTGCCAATTGGTTAGTCTAGCTAGCCAACTTTCCCTTCGGATCCTGTCTCTGCCTACCTCATGCTTGAGTTACAGGAAGCCTCCATACCTTCCTGTAGTTTGTGTCAGATACGGGGATTCAAACTCCAGCCTCACACTTGTCCACTAAGTGTTTTTTCCACTGAGCAATCTCCCCAGCCCATCTAGTCTTTAACGTCCAGAATGAACCTCAATCAGCTTATGGTCTAAACTTGCTTCCATCACCAGTGCCGCTGACGGAAAAGTCCTTCCTGCAGTCTTTCTCTTACTTGAACCTCTCTGTGTACATGTGACTCACTCTCCTCTAACCCCTTCCTCAACTTGTATCTTACGTCTTTCTCTTTTAGTTGTATCTTAGGTTGGCTTCTCACAGAGGCAAACAGACAAAGATTGATTGAGGGCAATTCCTTAGAAAGTAATCCCAAGAAAGCTCTCAGTTTACATCCTAGGCTGGGCTCCCTGGTAAGCAGATGAAGACTGCATGCAAGCAATGTCTTTGCAAGGCAAGGAGGGAGGGGAGCCAGGGAAAGGAAGCCACTGCAGGGCTCTGCTGGTTCTGGGCTCTGTTTCCAGTAAGGAACCTTGGGGAGATCACTGAGTATCTGTTTGCAGGTCATTCCACAGAGGAATAAGAAGCTAGGGTATTTGTCGGCTGTTAGGAGGGAAGTCCTCTTAGGCTTACTGAGTGTGTGTGTATATTGCCGCCAATTTGATGATAGGAAAAGTGTTGCAGGTTGTCCCTTGGGGGTGTCCCTTGGGGATGGGGGAAATTAGGTGCTGAACCAATGACACAGGTACCAGAAACAAGTTGAAACAAGCAGCTCGGCTTATTTCAGGAAGGGGTAAGTCTTATGTACCCTCCACCCTGCCCCAGCGGGAGAGACCCAGGGAGCTGGCATCTGCTGAAGTGATGTGGTCGATGTGCATAGGTCCGTGCCATCTCTTGTCAGACTGTTGCTGTTGTCAAGGCCCTCTGACAGACCCAGGCTGGCTGTCAGTAAATATCTACCGCACATGCTCTTGCTCTTGCTAGGCCAGCTGGTTCTCAGACCCATTGACGCTTAGTTATCCTATAGAAAAGTTTATTATATGGCTATAAATGAGCAAAAGAAGTAACTCCTTAAACAGCCAAAGATAAAGACTTACATAAATGTAGCTTATCAGACAAGAGAGCTGGGCATGCTAACACATGCCTGTTATTCCAGCAGTTGGGAGGCAGAGCGGCTACATGCAATAAACAAGACCCAAAGAGTAAAATGGCCTCTGTGAGAACAAATGATCTTTAGGGGAACAAAGTCGAGAATAAAAAGTTTATGATATTCTTGTTTGTGCAGGTATGAGAATGTCATCTCGTTTTCTTTTTTTTAAACATTTTATTTATATTTCATGCATATGGGTGTTTTGCCTGCCCGCCCACCACATGCATGCCTGCTGTCCTCAGAGGCCAGAAGAGGATTTTAGCTGCCACGTGAGTGCTAGGACTCAAACCAGGGCCCCTGTGCTCTTAATTTGTTAAGCTATCATTCCAGCCCTTCTATTTTTTTTTTTTTAAAGACATTCTCACATTATAGCCAGGACAGACTTGAATTAAGCATTCCTCTTGCCTCAGCCTCCCAAGTATTAGGATTATAACTGTGAGTCACCCCACCAGGGGTCTCTTTTTTCTTCATTTCCATAAACAACCCCAGAGCGGAGGGTCATGCAGTGTCCCTTTTAGAAGCTTGTTTTAGTGAGATAACTGCATCTGTTAATTTTGCATGTCTTTACAATAATCCCTCAGATCAATTCTCTGGGTGAGACCTTGTAGGCACGAGCTCCTTGGGTGATTCCAGCCTTCCAGTGTGGCTGGCAAGCTCCCTCCCTCTGCTGAAGATCTTAGAGAGTTCACAAAAGAGATAGGGCAACCAATGCTTTCTGACTTTTCTCTTCCTCCTTTCTTTAACACTGATCTCTCCAACCATCCGTGCTTCTCTCTGTAGACACTTTAGGTACTGAAGATAGAGATCAACACCATAAAGAAGATCCCTGCTTGAACTTGAACTCTACAAGCAAACATAGAAACAAGAGAGAAAAACTGTCAGCGGTATGGCTCCAGCAGAGAGAGACAAGGGACCTTGTTATTCTTTTGCTTAAATTAAAGATAAAGAAGAGGAAGGGGCACAAGATGGGACGTGAGACTAAGAGACATATTAGACATATTAACCAGTTTATTATAGGCTCGGCAGAGGAGAGAGACTAAGAGCAGAGGAGGAGAGAGTAGAGAGAGAGAAAGAGCATAAATGGGCAGGGGTCTGTCTTTTAAAGCATAATGCCTGAACCTTTCAATCCCACCTTTACTTATTATTAAAAAAAGGTGGGGTGTTAGACATAGCAGGTTAAGGAATAAGAGCGTCGAATTCTCAAGACTGCTTCCTGCTGACATGGGGGGCGTTGACCATCTTTGGGGGACCTGAGAAGGTTGGGGTGCTGCCACGTCCTGGGGTAGCTGGTTGCTTCATTGCAGTCCAGGCTGTACGGAACTCCCTGGCGCCTCTTCGACCTAGCAAGATGTTGGCAAAGCAGAGGACAAGGTTAACTTTAGAAAACAATTTTTTTTTTAGGTGCTGTCACTTGAGGGGAAGATTGTAAGATGAGGGAGGGGTTCCCGAGGAGTCCCAACATGAGGGAAGGGAGTCCTGGGACCAGGGAAGGATTGAATCACTGGAGTGAATCTGACCTGTTTGTTTGGATCCAATTCAGCTCCCTGGAACTTACAAGAATCCTTAGAGTTTGTGGAAACATGTTACACACATTAGCAGAGTATTCATGTCAGAAGCTTTGAAAGGTTCAGGCATTATGCTGGCCTACCTCTGTTACCTGTTGGAATCCACTCAGGCAGTACCCGGGTCAGCCCAGGGTTCCATGGGAACTAAGTCTGCATGCAGGTGCAAAGGACCTCTTTAAAAGACAGACCCCTGCCCATTTACTCTCTCTCTCTCTGTGGTGACCGGCCATGGCGCTCAGCCATGGAACCCTGTTCCTCTTCTCTCTTAGTGTCTCTACTCTGCTGGGCCTATAATAAACTGGTTAATATGTCTAATATGTTTCATCTTGAGCCCCTTCTTCTTTTATTTCTAATTTAAGCAAAAGAATAACAGACCTACTTCATACTGGTTGTCACAATGAGTGATAACCTGGAACTGACTGACACAGAGACACCCAGGCAGAGGGCTCCTGTCACTTCCCAGCTGAAAACTGTTTAGTGGCTTCTTTGCATTTACAGGAAATCAATTCCTTCAGGCTGAGATGAAGCACCTGGTGAGGTTAGCGGCTAGGCTGGCTGAGTCCCTCATCCATAAATGTCCACTAGATGAACGGTGCATTGAGCAAAATGGTTAGGTATTTAATAAATGTACAGGTCTGGATTGTTGCTACCCAACAGAAATAAAGTGAGTCCGATATGGAATTTTTTTTTTCTTTTTCTTTTTTTTTGGTTTTTCGAGACAGGGTTTCTCTGTGTAGTTTTGGAGCCTATCCTGGCACTCGTTCTGGAGACCAGGCTGGCCTCGAACTCACAGAGATCAGCCTGCCTCTGCCTCCCAAGTGCTGGGACTAAAAGCGTGTGCCACCAACACCCGGCTCTGATATGGAATTTTCTCACAGATAGATTATGAGAGCAGAAGAGGAGGCTGGAGAGATGGCTCAGCTGTTAAATCGCTGCTGTCCCAGCATTCATGTTGGGTAACTCACGATTCCAACTCCAGGGGATGTGTTACCTTCTTCCAGCTCCCATGGAGCACATGTGGCACACACACATTTTAAAAAGGAAAAGAATATTAAACAGATTGTCCCAACATTTTGTTACCCAAATATATCACAAACACAGTATTCACTTCTTTTTTTGTTGTTGTTGTTTTGGTTTTCCAAGATAGGGTTTCTCTGTGTAGCTTTGGAGCTTGTCCTGGAACGTGCTCTGTAGACCAGGCTGGGCTCAGACTCACAGAGATCCACCTGCCTCTACCTCCCGAGAGCTGGGATTAATGGCGTGCGCCACCACTGCCTGGCTTATTTATTTATTTATAATTTTATTGCTTCTATGTGGATTTTGCATCATGCAGATCAGCAAGGCTCTGGCAGTAGCATACCCCAGCCCCCAGAGGAGTGTCAACATTATCCTAGGTGACTGGCAAGACCCCGGGCATATGCAGAGCCCTTGGTGGCAACTAGAGCCATGGACACCACCCCAGACCCCGGCCTCCACAGAGCCAAGGACCCAGACTGGCCACAGCCCAAACCCAGAAGTCTCTATGACTCCAGGTGACAGCACTGGCCACACAGATCAGCATGGCCCTGAGCATGGCACAATTCTCAGACACTGTGTCTAAGCAGACCTTGGTCATCTGAATGGCTCTTGGTGACAACAGGAGCCCAGGACATCAACTCAGGCCCTGGCTGCTGTAGGGCCCAGATTCAGACATGGCCCTCAGCTGCAGCCCTAGCCTGGATGTCACCATAGTCCCAGGTGGCAGTGAAGGCCACTCAGATAAGGGTGTCTTTGGTGGCTGCATGGCTGTTGGATTCCCAGACCCCAGGCATCTATGAGGTCTTTGGTGGCAACATGAGTCACAGATATCAATACAGGACCCTGACTGTGGTAGGACCACAGACCTAATTATTGTCCTAGGCAGCAGCCTGAGCCTGGATATCACCATAATTCCAAGTGGCAGTGCAGGCCATCTGGACTGGCATGGCCCCTGAAGCAGCATGGCCCTCGGATACCAACATGGCCCCAGGTGGCAGCCTAGATCCCTGGCATCAGCAGGAGCCACAGACGTTAACACATACCCTGGCTTCAGCCGGGTCACAGACCCAGGCATGGCCCTCGGCTGCAGCCCTGGTCCAGAAGATACCATGACCCCCAGTTGACAGCACTGACCACCCAAATCATCCTGGCACTGGCATGGTCACAGGTTGTGGCCCAGATCCTGGGCATCCATGTGGTCTCTGATGGCAACCCGGACCAGGGACATCAACATAGACCCTGGATGCAACAGGACCACAGACCCAGACATGGTTCTAGGCAACAGCCCCGCTTGTCACTATGGTCCCAGTGGCTAGGCAGGCCACCCAGATTGGTATGGCCCCCGAGGCAGCATGACCCTCAGACACCAGTGTGGCCCCACCACAGGTCCCTGTACAGCTCCCAGTGACAACAGGAGTCCCAGACATCAACATAGGCCCCTGGGCTGCTCGAGGTCCCCGGATCAAGAACAGGCTCTTGGTGGTAGCCCAGGTCCAGACATCTCCCAGTGGGCCACTGACATCGGCCTGTTCCTCACCACCCTCACCTCTCCAGATCTGCCTCTCTCACCAGCCCACAAACCATAACGCCTCTCCCTCTCTTCTACCGCCTCACCTTGTGCTCTCTCACCACAGTGGTGACCAACTGTCCAATGTAGGGGAAGCTGTAGCCACGCCTACTTAGGAGCTGGCTACAGATGTGCCTGACCACGCTTGCAAGGGCATGGTCAGGGTGCCATAGAGTGACACTTTCAGGGGACTGCGTTTCTCTTTCAGTTTCACTTTGGTACTTGCTGGACAGACTGCTGCCACACCAGCTGACTAGGTTGCTCTGTAAGTAAGGCTTTTCCCTGTTAAATACCCTTATATTTCTACCTGACTCCGTATTGGTAATTTCCCACTATAGTCCAGCACCAGGGCTCTTGGTTGGGTCATAGGTGGTGCTTGGTTGAATACTGCCCGTCGCAGTACTTGTTACGATGGTAACTGGTTGTCTGGTACCAGAGGCACCAGGGAAGCTCCTGGTTGATTATGGCCCCCACAGACCCAGAATTCTGGGGGTTGGGGGTGGGATGCTGTCTGTGTCCATCGCTGATTTTACAGTAACCACTTAAAAAAGATTCATTAATTTTATTACTTATCTGTATGAGTATTTTGCTTGTATATGCACCATGTGTGTGCCTGGTACCCTTGGAAGTCAAAAGAGGATATTGGGTCCCCTGGGACTGGAGTTACAGGTGGTCTTGACCCACCACACCAACCACATGGGTGTTGGGGATCAAACCCCTGTCCTATGTAAGGGCAACAAGTACTCTTAAATGCTGAGCCAACTTCCAGCCCAACTTTGAGTCATATAAAATGCAGATTATTTATTTATTTATTTATTTATCTATCTATTTATTTATTTGAGACAGAGTCTCATGTAGAACAGGGTGTCCTCAAACTAGATATACTGTGGACCAGGATGACCTTGAATTTCTCATCTTCCAGCGTCAGCCTGCCCAGGGCTAGGATCACAGGCAAGCCCACCAGGCCCAGTGTATGTGCTTCTCAGGAATGGAACCCAGGACTTAAGTAATGCTAAGCTAGCCGTCTACAGAGCTATATCCCTAGCCATCAAACTGAGATTTTTTTTTTCTCCCATTATAAATCTAGTGTGTGTTTCACTTCCTAGTTTGGACTGACCACAATTCAAAAGTGATTAGCAGCCACCTCCTCAGAGAGGCCCTCGGCCAACACCAGGCATTTCCTTACCACCTTTCAAAGAAATCTTTAAATTTCATCCACTATACGTGTGCATAGTGTGTGTGAGCATCTATGTAATACATGCACTCGTGCGTGTGTGTGTGTGTGTGTGTGTGTGTGTGTGTGTGTGTGTGTTAGTGCAGATCCGCGCATGTGGAGGCCACCATGGGTTCCAGAGACCCAACTCAAGTCCGGGTCTTTTACCCCCTGAGTCATCACTGCTGTTTCCTTACTTTTGGGGGACAGGGTGTCTTGTAGCCCGGGCTAGCCTCCAACTCTGGGCTTGACCTCTGGTTCTTCCAGCCTCCGCTTCCCAGGTGCTGGCATTGCAGGCGTGTGCCACCACCAGGCTGGCTGCACCACATCACCACTTGAAAGTCTTTGCCACCTTCCCGGGTTTCTGCAGCGGACCCAGGGGCCTGTGAG